GTTTTTGCAGGGGGTAGGGGGAGATATGTATTTGATGTAAAAGGTCACGTTTTCTAAAATGTAAGCTCTGCAACTTTCCTTTGATCGACTGTATTTGCCCCTCCCTTCAGTGATGAGGTGGTGCTGGTGTGACTCTAATAGCCAAAGACACACTTATTCGTGGTTTTCTACTTGTCAGATGAGCAGGGCTGGAACGGTTCAACCAGGAGGACTTAAATCTCTCTTTGTCTCTATTTTCACAAGCGGTAGGTCACCTCTGTCCTCTGAGGAGCACAGCACAGTTTGTAACTCTAAGGCGCCTTTAGTTTGGAGGGTGGGGTGGTGCTGATGATGGCCTCTTGGTTTTCCTTGAAGCAACAGCAGCCAGAAGCAATTGGTTACACCCTAGACTTCAGGCTAACAAGGTATGTGTTCCTGTGTAGTAGCAGAGGCGTTCACAGTCATGTCTGGGACCATTCAAGATTCTAAGGGAACTTGTGAAAACATATTTATCCTCCCTATGTCTTCATGTTTACCTTGTAAAATCTAAGAAGAGGCTATTTAAAAGCTTTGAGATCCTTACATAAAAGCTAATTCCTACAGCACAACTTTAAATATGTCATTCTAGAGATATTATGATGTGATCAGTAAATTCAGTGAGAAACACAAAGGCTGCTTGACCTAAAAATTTTGGACAGCAGAAAGTAAACTTTGGGATAAACCAAAGAGAAGATACCAGGTTGCTTGTTAGAAGTACTCAGACCATATCACTTGGATGTGATGTTAAAAATATGATTCACATATGTTTTTCCTCCCCCTCTGCTTCCTTCCCTTTATAGGCTATGCACATGGTTATGAATTTACTCCTGGGATCATTGGTTTGATGAATATCTCTTTTAAAGGGACAATTAATTACTTTTTAAGGACTTCCATATCAAGTAACTTACATTGTGCTTATTTCTGTTTTTGCCCACAAAAGGGATTTTATGAAATGGACTGACATAAATATTCCCTTATTTCTCTCTGCTATCTAAACCAAAAATTTGAAAATAAAAACAGCCGCCACCGAATTAAAGAGAATCAAAAAAGTTTTTTGTGTGTGTTTTTCTAGTTCTTAATTTATTACACACTAAAAATCTCTTTCAAACTGGCACCAAGGTGGCTTTTCTTCTTGAGCTGATTAGGACCACATGAGCTCAGGAAAAGCTGTCAGATCCTGCCTCTGGCACAGCTGGAATGATCCAACTGATTTGCCAGTAGGATTTTTTTTTTTTCTAAGAAAGAAGCTTCATCCCAAAGTCATAAATTTATATTCTGGAGCCCCAAGCAAAAATTATTTCTTGTTCATTTTAAAAGAAGCAAAATTCCAATGTGACTTCTTTTATGGGACCTCCTGAAAATCAAAAGCAAACTGTGCAATATTTTGGTCAAGATTTCATGCTTTAGTGGGAGCTAACTCCATGCCTTGTCTTTAGTTATCTAGATTTCCACTGACACATGGGGTCTCATTCAGAAAACACTAATCCCCAGGAGAGAGCCATGATCTTAAGACCCTGCGAGAATATTTACCCTTGAAGAATTCTGTTTGTCAAATTGGCCCAGGGAAAAACTATGGATTAGGTCAAATGCCTTCTTCAGCTGCCCATGGTGGGCTCCTGACCCTGCTTTGTGGTGTTCACCAGGGTAAGTTAAGGGCAATCTAGTAGCTCCCTAACTCCTCAAGGAGGGGTTCCCTTCCTCTTCAGTCCTTTTATAGCCACCTCCTTACATCAAAACTCACCTGCCCTGCCTCTCTTACATTTAGGTCTCCTGTCTTTGGTAGATTTCCCCTGGCCTGGGTGATGAAGAAAGACATACTGATATATTCATGGACCCTAATACATTAGTATTTATCTTCTCAGGAAACACAGATGCATGTAAGCAGAACTAGAGTCAACCTGCCTTAACTCAAAAAAAATGACACCATATCAGTCCTATAGCAAATAAGCTTTTCAGCCCCCTTCACAGCATACACCTGAAGACAACCAGGAAGGCAGATGTTTTGCTGGATATCCATTTCAGAATTAGGATTTTGTTTGTTTTTAAGTATGAGAAAGTATTATTAGGAATGGGGTGGGGTGATCTTTATACTGATTGTGCAATTGTGCAGATTTTTTAATTCCTTTATCCCTTTGCTCCTTTCTGTACTCGGTACAATGAGGGTTTTTTTGGGTTTTTTTTGTTTTTTTTGCCTGCTTTTGGTCAAATTTCAGTCCAAAATCCCCAGCCAGGCTGATAATTCCTTTATCCCTTTGCTCCTTTCTGTACTCGGTACAATGAGGGTTTTTTTGTTTTTTTTTTGTTTTTTTTGCCTGCTTTTGGTCAAATTTCAGTCCAAAATCCCCAGCCAGGCTGGGCTGATCTGGCCTGCCATCTGAATGTTTTCTTTGTGTAATTCTAAAAGGGAGCTTCTTAGTCTCTTTGCCTTTGTTAAAAATACTAGGATTTCTGTCTTTGGTAGATTTCCCCTGGCCTGGGTGATGAAGAAAGACATACTGATATATTCATGGATCCTAATGCATTAGTATTTATCTTCTCAGGAAACACAGATGCATGTAAGCAGAACTAGAGTCAACCTGCCTTAACTCAAAAAAAATGACACCATATCAGTCCTATAGCAAATAAGCTTTTCAGCCCCCTTCACAGCATACACCTGAAGACAACCAGGAAGGCAGATGTTTTGCTGGATATCCATTTCAGAATTAGGATTTTGTTTGTTTTTAAGTATGAGAAAGTATTATTAGGAATGGGGTGGGGTGATCTTTATACTGATTGTGCAATTGTGCAGATTTTATAATTCCTTTATCCCTTTGCTCCTTTCTGTACTCGGTACAATGAGGGTTTTTTTGGGTTTTTTTTGTTTTTTTTGCCTGCTTTTGGTCAAATTTCAGTCCAAAATCCCCAGCCAGGCTGGGCTGATCTGGCCTGCCATCTGAATGTTTTCTTTGTGTAATTCTAAAAGGGAGCTTCTTAGTCTCTTTGCCTTTGTTAAAAATACTAGGATTATTTGGAATTATTTATTCCTATTCCAGATACAAAGCAGATAGAATTATACCACCAACCACTAATGGGGTGCTATAAGTTTTCTCTGTGAAATGGTGGACAGATTACATAACTTGTAGTTCCTCTATTAATCGTTAACCAGGTTGAGAGGATTTGAATAACAGCACATCTTGTTGCATGCTACAATGGTTTGACAGAAGAGCTGTGTGGCAGAGTTAGTATTTTACTGCTTTCAGCTTCACCACACAGTTTTGTAGCCTGGGAAGCCATGCATGCAGAAAGGCAGAACTTACAATTGCCTACAAAAGGAGAGTACAGTGCTACCTGTGGAGCCTCGCCACCAAGAGAAGATGACAGTTCCCGGCCTTTAAAATGCCCTGAACTGTTGAATAGTTTCAGAATGGAACTTGCCACAATTTGAATCACTCATCCAGGTGATTTTTCAAGCAACAGTTAAGACATAATTATTAAGTTTTACAACCATCCATTTAGTGTATTGTGAGAAAAAAGAGACTGGGAGAAAAGGATCAAAATTTATACATGTCTGGATATAATATGTGGAAGTTTGATTTTGATCCCTTTGAGAGCCAGGAAGAGTGGCTCAGGACACGACGAGAAGAGCTTCAGCCTTAAACACGGCTCTTTTCCAAAGTGACTTCCCTTTACCCATCCACCCCCCCCCAAAAAAAAAAAATCAAAATGTACTTCATGAAACTATTGTATATGAAGCACTTATTAGCCGTAATTAAATGGACAATATGAATTTACTACGTCTTTAGGACTCTGGCTTGTTCTGGTTTAGAGCAAGATGATTAATGCAAATACATATTACTTGAGATAACCATTTAGCAGCTAATTTAGCCAAATTTATTACAGCAGTTAGAGGTTTTTCATTTTAGCAGACGGAGACAAGGACATGCCAAAAGCGGGCGACGTAGACGAGTGCACACTGCCCTCTAGCGGCCAGCCCGCCGGTGAGCTTTTAGGGGGCGCGGGGTTGCTGCGATCCGTATGCAAGTAATAACAGCAGGTTTTGCACGTTTCCGGCATCCTTTTAAACCATTCCCATCCATAGCACTTTATTTCAGGGGATGATTTACTGCAGTTTCCCCTTTTACTAGCTCAGGAGTACCCAGATACAAATCAAATCAATTTTAACTTGGCAAGATTTTGGTTAAAGTATCATTTTTAACATCTGCATTTTAAAGCTCTCTTTCAGTGGGTATTTAATGGCACCGTTTCACATTACTGATTGTTTTTACTTGTTCCCTCATTTTGGGCCATATTTCAGAGTCTGTGTGGAGCTGTCACTCTGTTTGGCTCTAGCCAAGTCAATTCTGTGTCTCCCTTAGGCCAGTGTTTCTCTCTGACTCGACTGGGGAATTTATTTTGTTCAAATATTCAGCAAAATCTCACCAGAATTTCCCCGATTGACCAATGTAAATTTAGTTCATCCAGGACTATAAATCCTGTTAGACAAGATCAAAAAGGACAGATGTATAAGGACACTGGTTGATATCGCTGGCACTGAGGAGAAATGATCAAAGACAGAGGGGAAAGCATCTTTGGAACCATTCAAATATCCAGAATCTCAAAGAGGTCCACCTTGAAGCTATGAATAAATCACATACAAATTTGCTTTCCTTGCCATCTGACGTCAAACCCATTGACAATATCCACACTGCATTAGGTGTTCTGTGAGCCAAAAAGATTTGTAATCCTTTTATTCTTCCTTTCACACCATGGCTGCCCAAAACGGAAGAAAGTCTTGCTACAAATGTCAATAACCCTCGCTCCAGAGCTGCTGCTCCACTGAATTGTTATTCCATTTGTCCTACTAATGGCATTCTATGTTAAGCATACAGAGGGGCACCCCTGGCTTGGTGCAGAACCTCCCATTTCTAGGCTTGAAGTTTTGCAGAAAGTCATTTGGTCCCAGCCTTAACACAATGCCTTGTGTTTTGTCTTGTTTTTCCCAGTGCTCAATAAGGGTCAGTGTGTGACGAAGTACTATCGTTGGATGCAGAAGAATGGAGGATATATTTGGATACAGTCTAGTGCCACCATAGCTATTAATGCCAAGAATGCAAATGAAAAGAATATCATCTGGGTGAATTATCTTCTTAGGTATATTTTCTAATTCTTTTTTATTTCTGTCTCAGTTATAAAATATGCAGCCCTATGGTTAATAGCTGACATGTTGTGAGTATTATCTTTTTACAGTACGTAATATGGAATTTCATGGAAATTCTGCTTTTCTTTCCACAAGAGTCAAAGAAATGTGAGAAGATTGAACTGTGTTGGGAGGGACTGGCAGGGAGATGTGCAAATTTTTAATAATTCTTGGTTTATAAACATTTGGGCAGCGCTGCAGAAGTTGCTTTGGTTTCCCCACAAATGCCCAGGCCAGAAAAAGAATATAGACTTTTGCCTACAGCTGAAGGCAAAAATCACCTCTTATCCCAACCGCACATACTCACACATGGCAATCCTTGTGAAAATTAAGCAAAAGAGGATGGGAGAAAAGTAGCGGGGAACATTATATTCCTCTTGTATTTCATCCCTTTGACACTCAGCATATTACATAGGGTTTGGTTCCCTAGGCATTAAAGCTTTGGTACACAAAGTGAGTGGCTTTGCCAGAATCAAGACAATCTCAGTATAAAAAGGCAATCTTCTTCTGCCTATTGCTCTGTGATCTTGAGCAATTTTTACTGCTCTTAAAATGTATTCTCAAATTTATATTCATAAGTCAGTACAAGATCAACTGCTTCCTAAATTCTGGTGTGAGCCACCATTTCTCTCTCCTTCCCCATCTTCTTTCTGCCTTTGGATTCAAACTAGCAGAAAAGTAACCAAGACCAACAGATTGGGTGGTCTGAGTTTGGAGGCAAGCTTTCTGGGAGGTTTTCCGCCATCCTGTCATGAAGCTGTCACATTGCACAGGCCGGCTTCCTCCCACCACCATTGTTCCAATCTTTAGCTTCTCTTGGCCTAAAGCCATCAAGAGGGCCCACACGTGGTCTGAGTGGGAAAACTTCCAATAGGTCTTATGAATGGAAGTTGGTGCCCTTTGGCTGACAATTTAGACAGGGAGTACCTGAATCCCATTTTTCTTTGAGACAGCCAGATGGAGCTGAGAAGCTGACAGCCATGGCTCATCAGCACACCGGCCCCTTGGAGTGTGTGCACATACTTTGGTGATGACTTGAAGGCATGAATGTGCTGGCTACCAACAGCATTTCAATCAGACACTAATGATTATTGCTCTAGAGAGGGCCTTAATGTGCACCACTTAAAAGAATCTTCATTTATCTACTTTCTATTTCCTTTTTTGACCTCGACTGCTCTACATTAATTCTCTCTAAAGGTAAAAGTATGTGTATTTAATGTGGCTTTCTCTAAGGTCTGATTTTCATGCAAACTATCCGTTGTTTGTGATATGCTGAAGATGGGTTCTGACATCAAGAATCCTTTTATACAGAGTTTTATGGAACAGTGACTATATGTAATGCAGAAAACTATAGAAACTCATGTACCAAACAGGATAGAATAAGGTATTACGGCACTGACATTCTTTTGCTAGGCAAAAATGATGTTGTTCCAAGGAGACCCATTGCTGTTAAGAATTAAGCATTAGTAACGTGGACTCCATAGACTAGAAAGTGTCTGTCTTCCGTGTTGATGTAATGTAGGGTACCAAAGTCATTTATATATATGGTCGTTTCTCCCATTCTGTGAGATTTCTTCTGGATCTTTCTTACTGCCTCAGTCTCATGACTTCCTCCTTTGACCCCAAATAGAGGGAGAAAGAAGCGCTGAGTAGAATGACTCTCTGCAACTTTGGATCAACACCATTGATCTAGCCTAGAATCAAATGGTCCAGTTCATGAACCTTGGTGATTCTATTCCATTGAAATCCATATGGATAGGAAAAAAGCAGTTTGGGTATCAAAGACCAGTCTTCAGGCTCAAGAGCCTCAATCTTGGACATGGTAGACCTGTTTCAGCTTACCGTAAGGTGTACCCTGAGATCAATGATAAAAAGACTGAAAGTTGGAGGACAAGTGACCTGTGAACCCCCATGGCATCTGGGCCAAAGAAGATGAATATGGCCCTGAGATCAATGATAAAAAGACTGCAAGTTGGAGGACAAGTGACCTGTGAACCCCCATGGCATCTGGGCCAAAGAAGATGAATATGGATGAGCTTTAGCAGAGGAAACTCCACCAAGCCAGCTACTCACTGGTATCACTTCTATAGGCTACAGATCTAGTAAGAAAATGGTGTGGCCTTGGCAAAATAGTAACTACTGATGTTTGGTTTTCTTTCCCACTTTCTTGTCTTTTTTTCTTCCCTGAGCAATACTTTCATGTGACTTCTTCCTTCCCAGAATCCCTCACATCTGGGCCCCACCCAGACTTGTCTTTCACTTTTCTGAAATTACTGCTCCTCCAGTCTTCTTCCTGTTCCCTTACAACACTTAATAGAATTATAGACTCATAGAGTATTCAGAGACTGTATAAGTGCTAAGTCCACCTTCCCACCATTAGTCTCATCTGATTATCTAGAGAGAGCTTTGCTGCTGAAGCTAATTCACACTAAGGAGTAAATGCCTGATAATCCATCTTAGTGAATTAACCCTCCCAGGGACATTTGCGGTTTTAGAGTAGTTACTGAAACAGTGAGTCTTTAATATGAGAATTTCACTAGAGATTAGCAAATGAGTCCATAATCATCAATTGTAAGTCTGTTTGGCTAGCTATCATGGAAGCACAGAAGAGGTATTTCCCATTTTGAGGCAGGAGGCTTTCCTTGTGCCTTCAGATTCCAGTAGTCTATACTGCTCAGACATCCAAGCATCAGGCTGGCCTTGGAGTGGCATTTCCAGAAGACAGCCAGCTCAAACTGGACCAAACTTGTTCTTTTTTCCAGAAGAGGCTCGTTTCTGAATTAAAAATAGAACAAAAATTAAGCACGTTTGTGCAAATAGGGTTAGATCCATTCTGTGAGGGCCTCTTTCTAACTGGGACTCTCCCCACTGCAATCAGATTTCCAGCTAACAAGCCACAGGTGTACACCACATGAGCAGATGAAAATGTGATTGTAATGGGTGTGTTGACAGTTCAGTAGCCATAATCCATGCATCCCAAGGCGCACCTGTGCAGCTGTCAGATCGTTTGGCGCCACGGGCTCTGCCCCTCCACCACAACCAATAGCTTTGGAGCCATCTGAACAGCTGAGAAGTTACATCAAGAGGCCAAGACAAGGGTACAGAGGCAATGGACTCGTTAGGAGCCTGGGAGAGAAGATAGGGCATACCAGGAGGTATGGGAATGAACTGTTGAGAGTACTTCTCATCCTCCTCTCCCCCCAGGTGTTATACCGGGAGGAATGTCAAGCAGCACAGTTCCCTGGCCCCCAGTGGGACCTGATTATTTAAAAGCTTTTTAGTGGCTTTCATGTATTATTTGGGTATTCAATCATTGTAGCAGGGTGCACCTGCCCCCTGGCATATATGAAAACGGAGCTTCCATAAAAGTCCTGTGAATAGCAGAGAAATGATTTCATGTTTAGTCTTCTAAACTTTCTAAACTCCAGAAGTTTGGGACAAGGAAGTGGGGGAGAAGGTGGTCCAAAGCAAACCATGCAGAATGGGCACCTGCACAGCTGATGAATGCCTGTCTCCCCACAGTAATCCCGAGTACAAGGACACACCGATGGACATCGCACAGCTCCCCCACCTGCCAGAGAAAACCTCCGAATCCTCAGAGACGTCCGACTCAGAATCAGACTCTAAAGACACCTCAGGTATTACAGGTATTACTTTTTCTCCATGTTCTGCAGTTATGGCTTGCCTTGCCAGGCACAAGGGATGGGCAATGGCCAAAGGGCCATCCTCAGGGGCAAAGCAACTGGTCAAATGTGATATAGAGGCATGTCACTTCAAATTATTACTGAGTCTCTTTCCTACTCTGTCCACACACACATCTATGTACATATTTATACACCACTACATGCATATATGGGAAGGCACTGACTTATTTTGCATACGTTTGGAAAATAAGCAACAGTCCAGCACTCTGAAAGAGGCATTTATCGATGCCATTAAGTATCCCACTTTAGAGGCCCAGCTTGGCGAGGATGTGAATATTTGTGGCTCAAAGTCACAGACCCTTGGCACTAGCGATGCTAGCCCTGGTACCTGTTTCCAATAAAGATGCCATACCTAGTGACTGGGTTAGAGCAGGAGATATGTATGTATGTGGTAGTGTATAAATATAAACATATATACCTTGTGGTGCATGTAGACATATACACTTAAATATACAGAAAGAAAGGTTGATTGATTTAGCAATCACTTAATGTCAGCCCTCCACTGGCCATACACGAGTCCTGCTCTAACCCCATAGCTTGCTCTGGCATCTTTATTGGCAACAGGTACCAGGGCTAGCTCTGCTAGCTCCCAGAGTCTGTGACTTTGAGACACAAATATTCACATCCTTGCCAAGATGGGACCGAGCCTCTAAAGTGGCATACTTAATGGCACTGATAAATGCCTCTTTCAGAGTGCTGCACTGTTGCTTATTTTCTGAATCTATGCAGAACAAATCCATGCTTTCCCATTTCTAGTCATTTTGAGAAGTAGACTTCCTGAGTAGTTTTTTGGGGCACAGCAAAGTTAATATAAAAAGTTTACTTTTCTTCCAATCCCCACCCCCTTACCACAGACACACATAGGGCCTGGAAGCACAGAACTCAAAGGATTTTACAGCTGAGAAAAATCTTCAACTTCTTCTAACCCAACCTCTTCTGCTACAGAAGGGGAAACAAAGGCCAAAGTAGTTACATGATTTGCCCAAGGTCTGGTGCAGTCTGCTGTCCAAAAGTGTCCTGTCAAAGACATAAAATCAGCATCATTCCTAAATCTTCTGAGGTTATATTATTGGGAAAAAATCTATTGTCCCTAAAATGTGGCAGGTGCCTAGAGATCTCCCTCATCCCCGCGCCCCACACACCACCACCAGCTCCTATCATGAGGGCACCTGCCATCCAGCATTGTAAACACGTATCCCTCTACTCCAGACAAAGCTTTGGGGAGGCGGGAGGAGGTGAGGAGTACTCACAGTGGGTCTTGATTGTTTTCCTCCCCCCTAAATTGCATCAATTTGGAAGTTCTTTACTAAGGCAGAAGTTCTAGAATAGATAGTCTCTGCGTCATTTTTATATAGTATATAGCAGTGAACAAAACACAAAAATTCCCAACCCCATGGAGCTTATATTCTGGGGGGGGGGGGGAGAGACAGAATAAAAATAAACAAGACATACAGTGAATCAAACGGTGGTAAGTGCTAGGAGAAAAATAAGGAATAGAGAGAGGGAATGTGGTTTTCAATTATGAACGACTATTTACCAGTGGAAGGTACAGACCTCTTTACATAAGTCACTTTGCATAGCATCATTTTTTTGTGTCACTAACACCTTAATTAATCTGACTCCCTAAGAAATCACCTGGGGATCTCGTTCAAACGCAGACTGATTCCAGTAGGTCTGGGTGAGGCCCGAGATTCTGCACCTGTAACAGGTGTCCAGATGAGGCCAATGCTGCTGGCCCATGGGCCGCACTTTAGAGTGACCGTCCAGCTAATCTAGGCCTTCCACAGAGAGAAGGCCCAGGCTTTAAGTCACCAGAAGGTGGTGGAGAAGCTCATAATGAGGACAAGACACCTGCTCTGTTCCCCGCACCCGCTTCCCGCAGGTGCGAGGCCGGTTCTGCCGTGCTAACGTGGATCTCTCTCTCTCCCTCCCCGCCCCCAACCCTGCCCCCTCCCGCCCGGGCCACCGGCCCCACGCAGAGGACAAC